CCCGTGAAGACATCACTCTCAACTCCGTTACTTTTGCCTATCCGAGCAGACCCCATGTCAAGGTTCTCGATGATTTATCGATGAGGTTTGAATCTGGTAAAATCACGGCTATCGTGGGAGCATCGGGTTCTGGCAAGAGTACTATCGTAGGTACGTGTTATTTTCAGTATTGTATTCTATTCCCAGATGTTTTGCACTTTTTGCACGAGTAATTATTGATGACCTACGACTAGGTCTCCTAGAAAGATGGTACAATCTCGAGGAGCAACGAATAGTGATACCTCCAAGCGCCATGAAAGACGAGAAAAAAGACAAAAAGAAAGAAGAAGAAGAACGACCAAATACTCCCGAGTACGACGAGAAACAGGACCCAGTTGCTCTATCTGGTATTATTGCCTGTGGAAATAACGATTTGAGATCCCTCGACCTCAGATGGTGGCGAACACAAATTGGCCTTGTACAACAGGAGCCGTTTATATTCAATGATACGATAGCTAAAAATGTTGAATATGGTTTAATTGGTTCAGAATGGGAACTCGAAAATGCCGAAATGAAGAGGAAGCTTGTCATAGAGGCTTGTAAAGAAGCTTTTGCTGATGAGTATATCACTAAATTGCCCTTGGGATATGATACACAAGTTGGCGATGCTGGTATCAAGCTAAGCGGTGGACAAAGGCAGAGATTAGCCATTGCTAGGAGTATCATCAAGCGACCAAAGATCTTGATCTTAGACGAAGCTACCAGCGCAATCGATGTAAGAGGAGAGCAGATTGTTCAGGCAGCGTTAGACAAAGTGAGCGAGGGTAGAACAACAATCACGATTGCTCACAGACTTTCAACAATCAAAAAGGCTGACAAGATTGTGGTCCTGAGGAAGGGAAAACTTGTCGAAGAGGGAACTCATGAGGGATTACTTTCTAATCCGGACGGCGCATATAGTGCTCTCGTTAATGCCCAACAGTTATCTTTAGGGGATGTTTATCAAGAGGAATCTAATTTGGTGGAGACAGTGGACCCATTAGTACGGGAAATGAGTGCAGCAGAAAAGGAAAAGGAACAAAAAGAAGCAGTGGCATACAAACCCAAGGGTCTCGTCAGAAGTCTCGGACTTTTCCTGTATGAGCAACGTGCTCGATCGCAATGGTACTTGATGCTTGTGATAGGTGCCATAGCTGCTGGGGCCGCCTATCCTATTCAAGCCTATCTATTTGCACAGATCATTTCAGTCTTTTCATTGACTGGACCCAGACTTAAGGCTGCCACGGAACACTACGCCTTGATGTTCTTCGTTCTTGGATTGGGTGCTGGTGTGGCTTGGTTCATTATGGGCTATTCATCAACCATCATATCTGGTCACATCACCTCCACATACCGTCAAGAGTACTTTGAGAGTATTTTACATAAGCCGATTGCCTTTTTTGACGCAGAGGAAAACTCCAGTGGTGAACTTACTGGTCGTGTCGCCAATGATCCAACACAACTTCAACAACTACTTGGCATTAATATGGCCATGGTGCTGACGGCGATTTGTAACATCCTTGGTTGTATCATCATCGCTTTTGTTTTTGGCTGGAAGCTTACTTGTGTGGTGGCCTTTGTCGCCCTTCCTTTATTGATTTGTGGCAGTTTTTATCGCATTCGATATGAGATTCAATTTGAGAAGATGAACCAAGCAGTCTTTGCTGAGAGTTCCAAATTTGCGGCCGAAGCAATCTCTGCATTTAGAACAGTCACCTCGTTGACCTTGGAGGATATGATTTCCACCCGTTACGAGGAGCTGCTGAAGTGGCATGTGAAGGGCCACGCCAAGAAAAGCAGATATTCATCAATTATCTTCGCCGCTAGCGAGAGCTTGGGATTGGGGTGTATGGCTTTAGCATTTGTGAGTTTATTTATCATGTTCCAGGATGCTATGGCGTTAAGATACGAGCTTGAAGGTTGAATGCATGAGATGATCCTTGGATCTAGGAAAATCCTCTTGTTGTACTGCAAATCCGAACTGATCCGAACTGATCCGAACACAAAGCTAATATGATTTGCCTTTTAGTGGTATGGTGGCACTCTCCTTGCTTCAAGAGAATATGGTCCAGTCAACTTTTTTGTGGTCTATATTGCTATAATAAACGGTGCCGAGAGCGCTGGAAGTCTGCTGAGTTTTGGTCCTAGTTAGTGCTTCGTTGATAACTTCATTCCATTCTTCGTTACTAACCTCGCGATAGATATGGCACAAGCATCGGCAGCAGCAAACAGAATATTGAGTTTTAGACTACCGGCAAAAGTAACTGGAAATTTAGCGTCGCATATCCAGAACACAGAGGGCGGGGTGAAGATAGAATTGAAAGATGTCTGGTTCAAATATCCTACTCGTGACGTTCCAATATTTACTGGGTTGAATATCACGGTAAGTCAAATCTGTAGTAAGGTTGAAGAGGATGCTGATTATCATAGATTAAGAAAGGCCAATTTGCTGCGTTGGTTGGGCCTTCAGGCTGTGGAAAAACATCAATTGGTAATTTCACATCTGTCATATGGAAGATAATCTACTAAATCAGACACTAGTCAGTCTCCTTGAAAGGTTCTACGATGTTCAGAAGGGTAAAATATTATGCAACGACACCGATATCTCCGAACTTGAGGTTCGAGAATACCGGAAAATAATCTCACTCGTAGCACAGGAGCCTACTTTGTTTGAAGGTACCATCAAAGAGAATATATATTTGGGTGTTGATGAGTCGACTCCAGAAAAAACTCTCCATAAAGTCTGTCGCGATGCCGAAATTCACGACTTTATCATGTCCCTCCCTGACGGGTACAATACCAATGTTGGAACTAAGGGAGTTGCTCTCTCAGGAGGACAAAAACAACGGATATCAATAGCTCGTGCGCTCATTCGCAATCCCAAGATCCTTCTTCTTGACGAAGCAACATCTAGTCTAGATTCTGAGAGCGAGAAGCTCGTACAAGCGGCATTTGAACGGGCGGCAACAGGTAGAACAATGGTTGTCGTAGCACATCGACTAGCCACTGTGCAGAATGCAGATGTGATTTTTGTGTTGGGTGAAGGTAGGGTATTGGAAGTGGGAGATCATGCAGCGTTGTTACGGAAGAAAGGTGTATATTATCAAATGGTAAGTCTTCAGATGCTCTTCAAATTCTTTCGCCTCAAGCCTGTTCAACCTTCATTGTACTTACAAATCTCAGTGTCAATCTCAAGCACTTGACCGATAAACAGCAAAACCGCAGGAAGCAAAACATATCTCTCAGCTTAAATTTTTTGCATTAGAAGTATTAATTTCCAACTGTACGAGTGGGTAGAGGACAAATGAATTCCACTTAAATCCTGTACAATCACGATGTATAATCTAGAATCCTCTCACACATCCATCAACCTATGAGCTGGCATTTTGAGCTCGGTAATGTTGCAGTGCATATTTTGTGCATCCTGTGCATAAACTGACACGTAGATGTAGATCATGACCAATTCATGGTTTTCTATACGTTCCGACTTTGGAGGGACTTTTTCGTAGTTGAATGTAAGATTTTAAATTGGCTGAGAGGTACTTGAGAGGTTATCGTGAATTTGAGGTTCAATTAAATAGTACACCGAGTCGTAATTTTGACCCACGCTATCCACTATTATTACATACCCGTGCACTTAACTCACTGCACGAGGGAGGAGCTTTGGCTGGTCCAATATGGTGGGGAGGAGAGAGAGGTGATTGCCACATTTGGGAGAGATGCATCACTGGCGCCGGTTAGAAAAGAATGGGTCGGATAGTTGCGACTTGCAATGGGAGATTGGAAGTAAAGATTCGTTGATTGATTGATTGATTGATTGATTGATCGATGGGATGAATATTTCAGCTTGAATGGAACAAATGCAACTTGACTCAATCTAGGTACAGGTAAGAAGCAAGTTCGTCATCTCGAACTCCGAATCCAATCATCCAAGAGCATCTCTCATGTAAGGTGAAGAACTCAATGAGAGGCTTTGAGATTCACCGCCCTCAAATGTTAAAAACTGTAAATAATCGGGGTCTCCTTGGGGATCCATCGAGGGAAACCCACCGACAACAATGTAGCTCTAAAGGGATGGAAAGGTTGTATTAAGAAACGAGAGACAGACTGCATCTCAAAAGAAAGACTCCTTACTACAATACTTGTTCAGTACTTGGTAGTTTTCTTCGACTTTACTTCATCACGTCGATGCTCTCTTTTGTGTTATGACGACGACGACGACTACAACGACAACGACAACGACAACGACAACGACGATAACAAGAGCAACGGCAGCAATAACGATTCACTCTATCAACGATCATTTGAATTGATATATTCTTCTTTTTTTCTTCTCTCTCTCTCTCTCTCTCTCTCTCCCCATGTTGACTTGACAACCCACGAATCTCGTATCAAGAAATCAAACTTCAGCTGAATGAAAAAATCATTTCCAAGATCAACATTACTTGTGGCGTTCAATCAAGGATTACCCAGCGGTACACCACTAAACATCACTAAAATCCAAAGTCGAGATTCGCTTGATCCCCGATTGTTTTCCATTTGGCGCCTTTCTCCAGCCTCTTAATTAAAATTACAGCCCGCCCCATCTTGTGGTCCATTGTCCACACCTGGTCTACCACAATTCACCACGGCTACGCTACCTCTCCACTTCGACTTTTCTACCTCCCTAGCTAAAGAAACGCAATCTCTAAATTTTATCTAAAGGAGCCAGATTTTGGACTATCACAAGCTATCATCTGCGTCCCCATCCCCTCCTTAGTTCAATCATCTAGAGCATCAAACTTAATCAAATTTACCTTTGCGAATCGCCAAACCTTAAGAACACAATTGATAACGAATTTGGATAAGCTACAAAACGACGATTTCTGATTGACGAAATCATTTACGAAACTGGATGATATGTTAATGATATGATCACGAATGAATACGAACCTCGGAGCTGAAGTTGAGAAGAAGAAGTCCCTACCTCAGGGTACGGAATAATGGCTGAGAAACGCGATCGATATGGCACAGGAGGAGATCCATCGATTGCGCAGAGAGGGAATGGATATGGAAGTGGGAATGGTAATGGAGCACGAGGATATAATGGACGCGCGCCTCCAAATTTGGGATTTGATGGAGAGGGGAGCTCAGTTTCGGGTCGCGGACCAAATGATAGGAGATACGGGTCTATGCCCCCAAACACGCCCATGACGCCCTACACACCCTACACACCTTACACATCAGTAACTGCAGGATATGATGGCGGAGAGAGTTTTATTTCAGCAGAGACACCGAGACACGATCATTATTATGGCGGAGAGAGTGCGATTGGAGGACGTCCAGCAGTTACACCGGGAGCTGCAGGCTATCGTGGCGGAGAAAGCTCTTACAATGGTGGCACACCACAAACTGGGCGATTTAATGGCGGAGAAGGCTATGCCGAAGGTCGCGCTCCTCGGCCAGGAAGATATGATATTGCTGAGAGTACTATGTCTGTTGACACACCGCGAACTGCTCGATTCGATCCGGGTATGGAAAGCTCTATCGCGCATCCCGATACGCCACGTACTGCTCATTACGATACCACTGCAACTACCATGTCCATGGACCCATCACGAACAGGACCATATGATAAAGAGAATATAATCACGGTAGCAGAATATTATGATCCAGAACGAGCACGAGAACATGAACGACAAATGATGGAGCGCGAGAAATCTGAACGAGAACGAGGAATGCGCCAACCTTCAGGAATGGAATACGGGCCGCGACCTACGGAATATTTGAGTACATCAGGATCATCTACGTCTTCGTACCTCGATATCTCTCGCCATTTTCCTACAAAAGGATTTAGTTTCAGGTCTTTCTTCTCGACACCTTCCGAAAAGTCTGATTCGAAGAAGAAGAAAGAGAAGAAGAAGAAGAAAAGCAAAAAATTGACGAAACACAATACCTCTTCAAGCTCCTCTTTGAATGAAGATTTAGCTTATGGAACCGGATTTCTCAGATACAGAAGGAAGAGGAGTGTGAGAGCTAGGGATGGCAGAGACAGGCAGTGGGAAACCATAGGATATAAGTCTAGCAAGGAAAACTTGAGAGATACTCGATCTCCCACGAATGACAGACCTGCAAGCTCGAAACGACCAGCTACAGATGCTGAACTTTTGGCTTTAGGTGCTGGAATCGCTGGACTTGCCAAACTTGCACTCGACCATAGCAACAAAGACGCCAAGAATGGTAAGAACGGGCGCGGTGTTCCTGAACCCGTTACTTCTAGCCGAAGGGATGAGCGTGGCCTTCCACCTTCCAAGGCTATTCCATACGAAACCGACCCTAATGATGATGAGGCATGGGAATCAGCTTCTGAGGACGAGTCAGATTCAAGTGTTGATACTGGTTTGGCGTTCGGAGGTGGTAGTAATGTTGGCAAGAAAAGCCAGGCTGGCTTGTTCGGACGCAAGAAGACCCACGGCCCAAAGAGTCGAAAGAGTAACGTGGTCGATCCAAGACTTCTTGGGCCAGAGAATTCCCTCAATGGGTATTTATCAGATAGGGCTGTAGGCTTCGAAGACGTGCAATGGGAATCGGGTAGTGACTTTGGTCAACACACTTACATTCCTTACAGTCATCCAGACAGACAGGTGGATACTTTGTATGTGCACGAAAGGGTGAGGATAAGCAGGACCCAAAGTGTTGGAAGTGGTTCGCAGACCCCTCTTCAAGAAGTCTTCCCAGTCCCCACCAATGATCCCTCTCGATTCGATGTGGCGCGAGCATCTTCGTCCGAATACAATGCCTCTAGACCTGCACCAGTTCCAATTCAGCAACCTCAACCCATCACTCCGGTTTCTCATAGTGTTTATCACGAGTCCAACTACGTTCGTTCAGAATCTGGCGGGATCTTGAAAAGCTCTTCTGGTAGATCTAAATCTTTAGCTGGCGCGGCCTTAGCTGGCGTAGCTGGAGCCGCTGTTGGAGCTGCAATTGCATCTGATCGTCGAGATGAAAATGAGAGTTACCGTGATGATGATAGAAGGGACAACCGGAGCTATAGTGAAAGCGCTGTTAATCGACGAGAGAGCAATCGAAAAGAGCGACGCTACGAGGAGGATCAATACTCAATTGCCGATAGCAGCGTCTCTAAACCTCGAGATGAAGACCGAAAAGAGCGCCGTCGTGATTATGACCAATCTTCTATCGCTGATAGTAATCTCACTTGGGATGAAAAACGAGAGAAACGTCGCGAGGAGCGAAGAAAAGATGATTCTAGAAGCTCCACTTCTAATTCTGATCGTGATAAGAATCGAGAAAGGAGTCGTGATGATCCCGATGCTGCTGCAGAGGAGCGAGAGAGAAGACGACGAGAGAGACGCGAAGAGCGACGTGCACCTGATCGCATTGAAGACAACTATGAAGAGCGCCGAGCCCACGTACTCTCAGAAATATCGGCAATGGCTCGCACACCAACGGATCCATTCCAATATCAGGTTGCAAATACACCTCGCGAGGAAAGCTCTAGCCGTCAAGCTAAAGATCAATCTGCACCTGCTGTTGTTACTGTCGAACGCGAACCGGATTTCAATCGAAAGCAAAATTCATCGATCAAAGAATCATCTTCTATCTCACGCTCCGAATCGCGCACTGAGATTTCCATCAAGATTGACAAGGAACAGCGATACAAAGAACATGCTAGAACCCTGCATGATGCCGAGATGATCTATGAAGAAACTGAACATTCTACAGCCCCTATCGAGGCAGCAGCTATTGCCGCCGCCGCCGCTGCTTTGGCTAGGGAAAGTCGCCGAGAATCAAGATCATCGAAACGACGAGGAGAGAGACGAACTGACTCTGAGGATCTTTCAAAGGACGGTGATTCTGCCGAAGCCCCGGGACAATCGCACGATGAAGTTATGGCAGAAGCAGATCGAGCTTATCGTGAAATTCTCATGGCTAGGAAAGTTGCTGCAGAAGTCCGCCGCTCTCGCACTCCATCACCTGAGCGCTCTGTGATGAACAAATACGAAGAAGAGCCAGAAGAAGAACCGCCACGAATTGTCACTCCCCCCGGCATGCATGAACGCAAGAAAGGTCCCTATGATGCACCAAATGCTGATTTCAAGCTGGATTATATTATGACACCTAGAGATCTAAAAGTCTACAGCATTCCAAGCAGGCGATATAAGGTTGATGAATCTGATTTGAAGGGTCCATTCATGACAAAGGATGCGGATGCTAAACTGCCTCGACCTATGTTGAATTTGATTCGGCCCACCCCTACTTCAACACCATCACCCGAGAAACAGTTCGCCACCATGGCTAAGAATGGAAATGTGAAGAAGGAAAGTTCCAATCGGTCGGGTGATCGCCCAGTTGAAAGTCGCCGTTCTGAACCTGAGCCTGAACCTGAACTTCATTCCAAGACCAAGGATAGAGATGGAGAGCGTGAACAACCTTCTATACAATCGCAAGACGAGCCAGCCCAACCCCAACCCAAAGATCAAGTTGAGGATCGTGAACAAACTCCATTATATCGATCACAAGATAAGCCTAGCGATACAGTACAGATCCGCGAACAGATCCGCGAACAGATCCGCGAGCAGACTACATCATACCGATCAAAAGAGGAGTCACATGATCAAGATCGACCAAAACGTGATAGAAGAGACATTCCTCCCATCATTATCGGTCCAAGGGGAGACCTTATTCGCTCATCTGATGTTTCTGTTCCATCTCCCACTCAGTCCACAGTCTCAAAAGCTGTCACCTGGGGCCCAAACGAGACAAAACACTTTGAAGTTGAAAGTCCCACCGAACCAAGGGATGATTACATTTCCGATTCATCCCCAGAAACTCCTGAGAAGCCAAGGTTTTCAGAGCCAAGATTTTCAGAGCCGAGATTTTCAGAGCCAAAATCGGAGTCGCCAACTGAACCAAAATCTCCGAGCGGATGGGCCGCGATGGCAGCAGGCATTATTGGTGCAGGTGTGGGTGCCGCAGTAGCAGGCTCGAGTGAATCTCCTAATCGACCTGAGCGACCTGAATCTCCTAAGAAACCTGAGCGAGCCGAGGTAAGTGAGCTCGCCAGGATCTTAAAAGCTAGGGAGAGTGAACGACCCGAATCTCCTAAGCGAGCTGAGATCAGTGAACTTGCTAGAATTCTGAAAGAAAGAGAAAAGGAGCGACCCGAATCTCCTAAGAAACCCGAGCGAGCCGAGGTAAGTGAACTCGCTAGGATCTTAAAAGCTAGGGAGAGTGAACGACCCGAATCTCCCAAGCGAGCTGAGATCAGTGAACTTGCTAGAATTTTGAAGGAAAGGGAAAGTGAGCGACCTGAATCTCCCAAGCGTGCCGAAGTCAGTGAACTTGCTAGAATCTTGAAAGCAAGGGAACAGGAGCGCAACGAAAGGCCTTATGAGTACCGAGGCGTGACGGTAGAGCCTGAGAGTCCATACGGAGAACCGAGGCGAGATAGTCCACCTCGAGATTTGCGAAGAGACAGTCTGTATCGAGGTGTGACTGTAGAGCCTGAGAGTCCATACGGAGAAACATTTCGAGATGTGGACAGAGACAGTCTGTACCGAGGCGTGACGGTAAAGCCCGAGAGTCCATATGGAGAAATGAGAAGTGAAAGTCCACCTCGAGAAAATAGAAGGGAAAGTTCATCCCAGCATACGAGAAGAGATAGCCCACCAAGCGTCGGTCCCAAGCCCGTTTCGCCACGAACTTCACATATGCCTGGTGCTTTCGACGACGATTTGGATTTCACTGCAACAGTGGCAGCTGGGTTGCAAGATAGTGGCTTCGATCCTAACATCGTGGTTGACGACGTCGCGTTCCGAAAACGTGATTCCCCACCTGGTTCTAATGAATACAAAAAGCCATGGGCAGAATCCATCGACGATCTCTCGAGCATTCCCGGCGAAAGCTCTTCAAATCGTGGCTTTGTCATGGGCGAGGTGCTAGAAACTCCAAAAGATTGGTCGAGTGTATCGCCTGCCAACGAAGAATCACCCAGTCTTACTAGGAAAGAACAGAAAAGGCTTGAAAAAGAACGGAGACGAAGTGGTGGTGATGTAGCATCGCCAATCACTGAAGTTATTGTTGAAGAACCTGAAAGCTATTTTGATCCCTCTAGGCAGAGTAAAAAAGAATCAAGGAGACGTGACAAGGAGGAAGTGAGAACACAATCACTTCTGAGGGAAGAATCTTCATTTGTTGATATTTTGCCAAACCGCGAAATAGTCGAAGAACCGGAAAGTTATGTTGAGCCTGTTGAAACTCCCAAGAAGCCCAAAAAGTCATCTCGATCATCAACGTATGAAGATATCGACCTTGATTCAAAACCAAAAAGGAAATCTAGCAAGCGCTCATCAACTTACGACGGCAAAGTCGAGTCTCCATTGCGTGAAAGTCGTAGGACCTTCTCCATGGATGATATCAAAAGTGGCGACGAATCCAGAATCCCTAGAAAGTCGAAGCGTGACAGTGTTAGATTTGACTCACCCCCTCCAGAGTTTGACTCCGAATCTGGCAGATCATTGAGAAGAAAGTCAAAGGAGAAATTGGGAAGCAAGAGTGAACGTTATGATTCTCCTGACCCTTCACAAATCTCATTACCAGCCTCTGATAATTATGAAGATATGGAGCTATCAAGAGAGCCAGATCGCCCATCACGTCGAGATGGCGATGATCCATTGTGGGCTTCATCCCGTTCAATCTTATCAGCTGGTAGTAGCTCAAAGGTGGACGAAGAAGATTCGCCACAAAAGAACCGAAAGGATCGCAGCAGCACCAAAGAAAATAACGATGCTACACGACCAATTGCTTCAGAACCTATTCGCGACGATAATGAAGATTCAAAGAAGAAGACAAAGGAAGCAACGCCAAAGAAGAGTGGTGGATTGTTTGGTTTCTTTAGTGGTGCAAAGGCAGAAGCAGCAAAGGAGGAACTAACGAAAGGAAGTCGTGATGATCCTGACGATGTCAAGAAGAAAAAGAAAAAACGGAGTTCAACGGCAGATGGAATAACTGAGGGCCAATCTTTCAGTGATTCTCAACTGGTTTCAAGTGAGACCAATGGCCACAAAACACGCGGTGAGGATGGTGTGCAAGATTCTAGGAATGATGGAGAGAGGAAGAGGAGTAAAAGTTCAGATTCGAAGAAGGGTTCTTTTTTAGATAATGCCGGCATCCTTGGCGCGGGTGCCGGCCTTGCTGCTGGTGCAATTGCAATTTCTGCTCAGCACCAACAGCAACATGCCGCTAATAATAATGATAGCGAGGGAAGTACGGGGGATATGGGAAAGCTGGAAAGAGAGGAAGATATATTGGATCCAGAGATTATCGAACGACAAATCAGACCCTCAATTGACCCTCAATATGGAGATCTTTTACCATTGCCGCCAAGTGGTTCAGTTTCACCTAATTGTGAACCAATTGATGACCTGCCCAAACTTCCAGAAAGTCGACCTACAACACCTGAATCTGAAAAACGGACTGTAAGTACGCCAAGGGAGAAGACTCCGCGAAATCGTAAGAGTTTGCAGGAGACTCCTGTAAAATCTCCAAGCCAAAGTGCCGTGCCATTAAAATTCGTCATGGGAAACCGATCCAATCCGGCCTCACCTATTATAACGAGATCTACTGGTAATACGCCCTTTCCTACTTTTCATCCCTCTCCAATTGCAGAATCAGCCACAATTCCAAGATCTAGATCAAGACCTATGTCGTGGGATAATACCAAGGAATTCAAGCCCCTGTATCTATTAGAGACTAACAGACGTGGGTCGTTCGTGCCAGAAGAGTTAATTGACCCGCTCCCACATTTACCTCCGTCCCGAACCAATTCAGAGCTTGACGTGGCGGATCTACCCGAATCGGGCTTTTTGGAAAAATTGGACCTTCACCGCCCTTCACTAGACCCACTTTCAACCAACCTCCCCTCCGATGATCACACCTCCGGAGAATCCACACCGACTGCGATTGCTTTTAAAAGGGACTTAGCGCCATCAGTGGAGTTTCTTCAAGATTCTTTCCCCTCACTGGAAGAAAAACAAACTTTATCTTCTGGTGCATTTCATGAACAATCATCATCTGAAACAGTAGCTAAAGCCATTGGAGCCGCAGGAATTGCAACTGCAGCCGGCCTTGCTATTGCATCTCATGGTACAAGCGATGAACAGGAACCAAGGTCTTCTCAAGAGATCCAGGAAAAGAGTGGAAACGACAATTTAGAATATTCATCTGAGTCACATGACATGCCCTCCGAACGGGAGGAGACATTGCAAAACTTAAGTGGAGCTTCGAGCAATCAAACCATGAGTATTGAAGAGGAGGTCGAACAGACCGAAGAATTTCCTTTGTCAAATTTCAAGAAAAATGAGGGCAAAGGTTTGACGCTTGAATCAGATGACATTCATGACCAAGCCGAGAATACTCCGGAGCCCATTCAAGAACTCTCCAATCCAGTTGAAGAGGATGATGCCGAGTCCGTAGATAACTTCTCTACACCAGAGTCCAAGAACAATCAGGGTAAGAATGGAACAGCTGCATTATCTCAGGAGCCCGAATTGGAACTCCAAAGCGAAATTCCTAGTCAGGAGGATACACAAGGACCAAAATCCGACTATGCTTCAAGTGAACCACATGATGTGACCGGGCCGGATAGAGATCTTATCGAACAAGCAGCTACCTCCGAGGCTCAACTCGTTGAATATCCTACTCAGAACTCCGAAGAGGAGAAAGTACACGAGAAAGCAGACAATAATGTTCTATCCTTCGAGCCCGAATTGAAGACAAGACATGTGGACAGCGTAGAGCCTCTCAAACCTATGGATGAAACCCTTTCAATTGACAAATCGGTTGATGAACCGCAACAGCAAGTGCAGGAATCTGGCCAAATGGAAGAAGCTTTGCCTTCAGTTGAGATTGACCAGATCGAGGAACTCTCTGTTCCCAAGTCCAAGAAGGACAGGAAGAAGGACAAGAAGAAGGCAAAAGCTGATGCTCTCAGACTGGAAGGACTCACTACTGAGCCAATCGTTGAATCTGTGATTGAAGTTCCAACACGAGAACCATCACTTGAGGCATCGCCAGAGCTTTCCCGCGAGATTTCCCAGCCATCTTCTCCTCTAGCCAGCCCCGAGGCACAAGCATTCAATGGTTCTGCACTGCCTGAAAATTCTGGTGATATCACGCCCACAGTTTCCGAGTCTGCTAGCCCCAAATCGGAAAGAGATAAGAAGAAGTTGAAAAAATCTAAGCCGATTCCTCTTGATCCACAACCAGAACAAGCTGTGGTTCAACCCGAGCTCAATGAGGCTGAGCTGTCCCAACCTGAAGATGTCACGAGAAATCATCTAGATTTGTCTCAAGAATTAGTTCAAGAACCCATCCAAGCAGAACCTACCACGCCTGTCAATATTGAGCTAATTGAAGAGTTCTCAACTCCAAAATCCAAGAAAAGCAAGAAGGACAAGAGAAAGGCAAAGAAGGAACAAATTGCGAATGTCGAGCAGAACCCAATTGACGTCACTCAAGAGCAGGAGCAAGTACCTGAACTGCAAGATAAGGAACTACCAGAAGCTCTTACTTTTGAAGAGACGCCGAACCTTGATGATACTATTCACGCTATCGCCTCTCCTTCTTTGAAGAAGAATGGAAAGAAGAGCAAAAACGGTAAGACTGCAGAGATAGAAGGACCCGTGGAACCGACAATTTCTGGTCCTATTCCAGAGGATGTGTCAGAGAAACCAACACCAATGGTTGGACCTGGTGGTTGGCCAATCACTCCTGCTACTCCATGGACTGCCGGCGCACAAGAAATCTCTTCATCGAATGAAAAAGACTACTTTCCAGCTGCAGAAACAATACTACCAATTATCACAGCTGGAGATGCTGTAATTGGTGCAGAACAGTTGAAGTCCAATGATATTTCTGAAGATAAGAATGGTTCTAACAGCCTTGCTGCTGGACATGAAGATAGTCAACTCGGACTTGCAAACCAATCACCAGAGGAATCGAAGCCACAAGAAATCGTGATCGAGGATGTTTCTAAAGATCTTGGAGAGGATGTCACTGAATTCAACGGACTTTCAGCCGGCTCTCAAGAAGATGAATCATCTCTCCCTCGCCAGTTACCTGCGGAGATTGAAGATAACATTGAAGAGAATCATCCACGACAAGAAGAACGGGATCAAATTTCTGCAATCGAGATTCAAGAGGAAGAGAAGCCCATTTCCAATGAGACTGAAGCCCCGGGTGGATTTGAAGCTGGATTCAAAGATGACCAACAAGCGCTTTCTAAGGATTTGAAGGAGGAACTTGAATATAGTAGTGGCAAGCACGAGAGAGACGATAAAAGTGAAGAGCACGCTAATCAAGATCAAATCGAAGAGGTTCCTTCTGATATTTCTTCCTCAGATAATGCTATCAAGGGTTTGGACGAGCCAACAAATGTCCCTACCCCTCAGGCAGAGATTATCGAGGATCCAGCGATCAAAGCTGTACTTGAAGAACCAGAGGAGATTGCCCAAGCTGAAATGAAGCCACAAATGCCCGAAGACAGTGTCCCCGTCGAGAACGTTATCAAGGAACAGACTCCTTTGGAAGAGATCTCCACAATGGTGCAAGAGTCAGAGAGCATCGAAAATACGCATATCGACCAGGATTTTCCAGAGCCAGCAACGACCGAAAACACACCCATTGATCCGATCATTTCAGCACCAGAACCCGAGGTAGAGACCCAGAGCAAGGATTCCAAGGAACAGGAGAACCTCGACAGTTTGTTTGCATCTAATCCTTCCGAAGACATGAAGACACCCGGTACCTCGGAAGAAAATACGCCTGTAGATGCCTCTCCAGAGCACCTCGAGCCTGAGCATTTGCAAGGTCCCGATGAAGCCTCTATTGCCATCGACCCTATGCCGGAATCTGCTACTATTGACAAGAGTCAAGACAATGTGATTGAACCGACACCCATTGAGGAAGTTTCTGTTTCCGAGAATGCGGATCAAGCCAACATTGAGGAAGACAAGACACAAGGAGAAGAACCTGCTGATTTTAAGCAAGAAATTCCGGACGCACCTCTGAAGCCTCCTACTGTAGACCGTGAAATCGAATTTTCTGCACCTCCCAAGAAGTCTGAGAAAGATAAGAACAAGCGTGACAAGCAAGTACAGGATTCAATTGAAGAAGATGCCGTTGCCAAGGACATCAAACCCACTGGCGAGTCGTCCAATATAGAAATGCCAATTGAACAGCCAAATACTATGCCTGTGGAACAAATTATTACGATCCCCGCGAAAGAGCAAACTTCTAACGATGCACCGATGACAGCAGGACTTTCTGGCCTCATGGGCCCTTTGACAGGAAGAAAAAAGGGTGTTTTGGAAATGGTTCAAGCTTTGGGATGGGGCAAAAAGAAGGACAAGGCCGCAATTGCCGCTGCTGAGCAAGGACTCCCTCCAAGACCATCTACAGCACGCGCTGCATCTGAATCTTTTATGTCTACACCACGCGTTGTGTCTGAGTCCGCCATGCCAAAGGACATCGAGACTGAACCTGTCAAAGCACCGTCGCCTACTACGGAACTTGAGGAATGGGCTCTGGCAGACGAAAACTCGAAGACAAATTCAAAGAAGGGCAAGAAGATCGCAAGCGAAGATCTCGAGTCAGTGCCAAGTACAATCATCGAGGAAGATCCTTTACCCATTGAGCCCAAGGAAGAAATTGCTCAAAACATCATGGAGCCATCAGTCACACAATCGACAGAGGATGTACAAGATGACCAATCACCTAAAAGACAGAAGGGCAAGAAACGTCTCAGCTTACAATCGTTCATATCCGAAGAGGCCTCCAAAGCATTCAGAGCCAGGGAATCCGCCAATCAAGGACCAGAAACTCCGGCCTTAAAGGCAGAGCCAGCTTTCATCGAACAATCTCATGAATTCACTTCAGAGCCAATTATCGATACACCAGTTGAAGAAGCGAAAAATACTGAATCCATGATTGAGGTTCCAAACATGAAAATGAAGGAAGATGAGAAGAAACGCCGAAGTTCGCAATCCTCTGCGTCGGAAGAAATGCCAAAGGAAGAGGCAGATGTGTCGAGAGATGCTGTTATTGAGAAGGAACCCGAGCTTCAAGCACCGGAAATCCATGAGCCATCTGCTGAAAGCAGTAGCGAGCCTTCTGAATTCCAACGCGAACCTACTCTGGAAGAGAGTCAAGCTCCCGAACTGTCTAATGAAGATGCCCCTGAACCAGTTGTCGAAACCCCTAGGGAACCCGAGGAACTTGATCGTGAGGCTATTCAGGAGGATCTTTTTACTTCATCACCACAGCCTGAGCACATTCCTGAACCAATTGTTGAGAACCACAGCAAATCATCGGAACCTCCTCACTCGATTGACCAAGAAAATGTTTTCGTTCCGGAACCTCTTTCGGAGGACACTCCGGAGCAAGCAACGCTTGAAAGATCAAACGAGTCTTCGGATGTTCCTCGCGAGGTTATTCAGGATGATGATAATTCACCACAAGCATCATTTGGCTTTGTTACTGAGCCAAGCGCGATTGATAATGAGGCTTCTCCACCAAATAAATCCACTCTCGAGAAACCCCCGAAGAATGTCGATATTTCTGAACCAAGCTTGGTTGATGAATCTTTCTTGCCAAATGAATCGAGTCAAGATGATATCATGGCATCCGTCGAGTATGTTGAACCAGATGCAAGTCTTCAAGAGTCTCGATTGTCAGTTGAACCTCTTTCTGAGGAGTTGGACAATGCTATTGAAGTTAATAAGCCAGACACTGTTGATGAGCTTACTCTACCAAGTCACATTGTCTTCGAGGAAGATTCGAGAGAGGTTGAAGTTGCTGAGCCAAGTCATGACAACGATCAGTCTTTCTTACCACAAAAGCCACTTCTCGAGGAAACTCATAAGGATGTCGACGGGTCTTTGACGAAGCAAGTTATTCCACGGGGGGAGTCAGGAACTCTGGAAACTTTCGAGCCAAGCCATACTGATGAAGAGACTCTCTTATCTACTGAACCTGCAATAAAATTTGAAACAGTTCAAGCGCCAAGCGAAATTGATCCTGCCGAGGAAACGGAAGTCCAAGATGAATCGACCTTACCCATCACTAAGAAGTCCAAGAAAAACAAGAAGAGTAAGAACAAGTCCCAGTCAGAGCCCGAGGTGCCAATCGAAGTCGCCAAAGAGCCTGAACAGACTCTTCTTGTTGAGGAACAAATCTTGGAAGAGCCTTTCGTAACCGCGGAATCAAGCAATCGCGAAGCCTTGGAGCAGCCGCTCGAAAGATCAGTTGAGACCATCGAGCCAGAAATTCGTGATGTCTTAGATCCTGCTTCTGTACCACTTCCGGAGGATGATATCAATGAGAGTATCGAACTTGACGAACCCACAGGCTTCGAGAATCTACAGCCATCCCTTAACCTTAGTCCATCAATCCCAATTCCTGAAGAAACAACTATCAAACCAGAGATCGAGGAGCCCAAGAGTCTTGAAGACTTAGATGATTCTGAGCATGCAGCATCAATCCCATTGCCGGAAGACATTGTGATGAATCCAACCGAGGACATCGAGCATCAAGGTCATGAACTTGCGGAAGCACTTAAACCAGTTCCAGATGCTGTGGAGAAGACGATTGAAACCCCCTCCGACATCGACATCCCCGAAAGCAAAGAAACATTGGAATTTTCAGAACCGATTTCTCCCATTCTAGAAAAGTCTTCCCAAGAACCTGCTCCAGTCTCACCAAAGAGGTCTAGAAAAGATAAGAAAAAGCGCAAGTCTGCTACACCAGTGCCATTGGCCGAAGAGTCTCTTTCGTCAGACCCACTCTTCGAAAGCGAAACAAAAGCTGTCGAGCCAACAACGGAAGAAGCAAGACTAGTTGTTTCAGAACCTCCAATTGATAGATCTTCGGAAGAAGTGATGTTCAGCAAGTCACAAGAAGCCGAGTTTCTTTCAGAATTGATCGACCCAGAGACCGAACAGAAGGGCATCGAACCGACGGAGGACATTACAACTCCAAGTATCTCCGATGAGATTGAACACGTTCTCCAAGAAAAACATGCTGAGCCACATGCTGAAGTTCCAACCGAGGAATCCGAGAAAGAAAGGGAAGAGCAAAAGTTTGAAGTACCTATTCTAGACTCTGAAGATATTACTTCCCAAGCCCCACTGAAGCCTTTACCGATTCAACCGGACGGCGATGTATCAAACCAAGACACCGTTCCGAACTCCACCAAGTCAATTCCAGAGAGCGTGCAAACGGCCAACGAGAATATATCGAATCCCAATCTGAACGATGTTGAGGTTAAACAAGACGATACTCCCAAGTCGGTTTTGGACATCCCTCTTGAACAACATGATCTTGAATCTGGATCCAAAGATATCACAGACTTCTCAGAAACAAACTCTCCAGATGCTCCAGTCATTGAACTAAAAGAGGACGAAAAGGAGCGCAAATCTCTTCACACAAGTCCATCATTTGAGCTTCCTATGGAAAGCACGTCAGAAATGACCGAACTTTCCCAGCCAATCAATCAAGCTTCAGAAGAGGAACTTCATGGCATAGAACCTGCGGAGACTGTCAGAGAGATCGTCCAGCAACCAACAGAGCTTCAAGAACATGCCCTTGAGCAAGAACAAACAGAGGAAGATCCCAAGGTATTTATGGAGCCAGTAATCGAGTCAATTGCATCAGCACCATCGACAAACATTTCTCATGGACCAACTGTTGAGTCTGAAAATTTCAAGGAAGATGACCTCACACCACAGGAACCAATTGTGCAACAAGAATCACCAAGCGAACCAAAAAGCATCGCGGAGCCATCCTTATTACCACATCAAATCATTGAGCCGGAAAGTGTAAACGAGGAAACTTTCCTCCCGCAAAATTCAATGATCGATTCAAGTATTGATGAGGAGGCACCTCAATCACAGGAACGATTTCTCGAGCCAGGAACCAGAAACGAAGAAAGCTTTTTACCGCAAGAATCAACAATTGAATCACGAATCAGTGAAGAGCCAACTTCACAGCAAGAGCTAGAAACTGTGCCAGAAATTTCCAGTCTCGAATCTAGTCTGGTACAAGACTCGGTCGTTGAGCCAACACCAGAGGAAGAGCAAATTGTTGTACAGAAACCAGTCATCGAGCTCAACATTCCTGAACCAGCACAAATTGCTTTGCCAGAATCACCAATTGACCAAACATCATTCGAGCAAGAATTGTCTTTTCCACAAGAGTCTCTAACTGAGCCAGAGGTTATTGAAGAAGCACCTATTATTCAAGATCGTGCAACTGGTCCTCAGAGTTCGGATATTAAGCTGGTCATTCCACAAGAATCGCCCCTGGAGCAAAACGTTGTTGAGCCTGCACAAATTTCTTTGCCAGAATCACCAACTGAGCAGGAAGTATCTGAACCAGAAGTTTCATCTCAACAGGAGCTCGTTTCTCAAAATCATATTGTTGAAGAACCAAGTCTTTCACGAGAGCACCATGTCGAACCGAAAAGCTCACATCCCGAATTGGTGAACTATTCAGAATGGCCTCTTGGACAAAAGACTGTCGAGCCAGAACAAATTGCCTTGCCAGAATCACCGATCGAACAGGAATCATTTGAACCAGAAGTACTTTTTCGACAAGAGCCTGTAGTTGAGTCACAAGATCGTCCAGTACCAAGCGATTCATCAGAATTGCTATTTGAGGAAAAGGCCGGAGAGAAAGAATTGTCTTTTCCACAAGATACCGTTGATCCGGAAATAACCGACAAGGCACTCAACCCTCATGAACAGGATATCAATTCCAAATTTTCTGAGCAAGAATCAACTGTTTTACAAGAATTACCGATCGAGCAGTCAATTGGTCAACCTTTAGAGGTCAACGGTGAAGAGCCTGTTTCCGAATTAAACCCCATGGATGATATGACAATTCCACAAGAATCATCGATTGAGCCAACGAAGTTAGAATCAGATATGTCAAGTTCGACTATCGTACCTGAAGAATCAGCGAGGGATCTCGAACCTGGTTTCCTCAATGAATCTGGCAAAGAAAAGGAGGAACGAGAAGAGAATTTGGACATTTCAGAAACCTCCGGAGATCCCAGCAACGTTACTTTGACTTTTCAAGTACCAGAAAATCAAGCGCTAGAAATCGTCTCCGAGTCAACACCATCTGATCCTATCATTGAGCCTGTATCAAGCTCGCCAGATGTCGTTTCCGAAAATCTTGAGCCAATTGCAAATGTGGAGCAAATCAAACCAGATCTTGTTGAACCTACATCGAATACAGAACCAATCGCCAATGAACAAGTTATCGATTCTACCCTTGAGGACCCTGTACATGGTCAGCGTCCTACCGAAAGTCTGACTGCCGAGACTGGATCAATACAAAGAGATGAATGGGCTCAGCCGATCGAGGAGTCAAAAGAGGTAGAAAAGGAGGGTGATGATGTCTTGCAACCAATGAAAGAGCAATCTGATGTTGCGCCTCAGGCCTCAGAAATCACAAATACGCCGTTTGAGATCACAGATAAGTCATCCATGGGAGACGATGTAAAAGAACTGGCAAACGGGGATATAACAGAGACCGATGATGAGTCGTTCTTGGACGCTGTTGAATCTTTTCCCATTGAAGATACTCCGATGAATTTGACCCCTCGGGCTTCACGAGAGCCTGTTGAGGCTATTGAGCCCGAGTTTGAAGAACTTACTCAAGAACCTGCAGAACAATCCATTCCGGAAGTTATCAAGCCACTTCACGAAGAAGAATTCATTCCAGCCCCTATGCCTGAGACTTTACGACAAAACGATGATGCGTTTCCTAATTCAGAAGATGTTACACTGGACGAGCACAAATCAATTCCAGTCGATGAGTTATCAAAAAATGATTTACCACGAGAGATGCTGAATGGAGAGCATCCAAAAGAAGAGCACAGACCAGCAGATGATGATGTCACTGAGGGCTTGACCAAGAATTCCAAGGATATAAATGATCGTGAGTTTGGATTTTCTTCACCGGTACAGTTTATCCCCAAAGACACCCAAATAGGAGTACCGGATATTGTGGAGCCAGTACCTACAGAGATAACACTCGATGAATTCAAGGACATTATCACTGGAGACATGCCAAAGGAAGTTCAACAACAAACCGAGGACGAATGGGGTTCGATTTCTACCAAGAAATCGAGAAAGGACAAGGAGACACTTGAGTCTACCTTGTCTACCCCATTGGAGCCCGAGGTTCCCAATGTTGCTACTGAGCTTCCTGAGGATATTCCACCAAATTCTGGAAAGCTAGAAGAGCTACTTCCAACTATTGAGGACGTACCTGATACTCATACATCTTTCCAGATTCCACAGGTTGATAAAATTGTTTCCGAGCATGATCCTTTTGACACGTCACACGATAAGAACGATAAAATGGGCAAGGGGATCTCAAGCAGAGAACTCGACCCAGAGCCAGAAATCCCAGCCTTGGCCAATACCGTCGCGGTATCCGATTTACAAGATATCAATTCCGGCGAGCGTCTCCTGACTTCTCCTATTCCAATACGAAACATCGTTCCAGCATCGAACCCAATTGCGGAACCAGATATGACTTCACCTCCCTCATCATCTTCATTCAAGCCGCTTATCGATGAGTCAAAAAATCTATCTACTGCATTAGTACAAGTCCCTTCCAAAAAAGACAAGAGAAAACGTCAAGCAACAATAAATCTGAAAACGCCCAAAGATGATCAACGAACTTTTTGGGCAGATGAAGTTCCCGAAGCAGAAGTTACCAGGGCTGTACCAGTCATTGAAGATATTGGACGAGATGAATTCTATTCTCATATTGCCAGCACGGTCAAAGAATCCGACGCGAACGAATTTTCTAGACCACCCGCCAAGAAAGGAAAGAAGAATACGAGAAGAAAATCAACCGATATCAAAGACTTCCAATCATCAATGGGGGAAGATTTATCAAAAATTGAACCAATGAAGGAGCGCAAAGAGATGCCGTCTTTAGTAGCCGCGACTGCAGCAATTGTTAGTGCAGCAACGTTGGCTAGCAAGAGCAAAGAATCAGAAGTTGGAGCTGTTGAGGAAGATGAAAGCCCCATGATGGAAATTTTATCTGAGGAGGAAGAGCATGGACTAAGTATGGACAAGATAGCACCAAGTGATAACGTATCTGATGATTCTGTGCCACGGGAAGACAAGGACTCAAAAGTTTCTGACGAGGTGAAGGATGAATCGGGAGAGAAGAATGATGAATATGACAGTGATGGATTTCCAGATATAAATACGACTGTGCAAGAACCAGAGCAAATAGAGAACATCCAGGATCCAATGATTGAGACATCTGACAAGGCTGCTGCTGTGGAACCTCAAGAGTTTAGAACTCCTAGATCTCTTAGCCCCGTTCTCGACATAACAAGATTCACTCAAGAGCCGGAGCAGATGGACTCGATGCAGCAAAAAGAAGTCGCCGAAACATCCGAGTCAAATAAGGTGGAACGTTCTATTTTGCATGAGCCAGAGGAGACCAAGACCATTCAAGAACCAACGGAACAGATTTCCACTGAGCATGCGGAAGATGAAAACACCGTTTTCCACCAGCCAAAACAAATGGAACCCGTCCAGAAGCCAACGACACAAGTTCCTGCTGAGCCTACTATTGTAGAACGCCAAATCTTACAAGAATCCGAGCAGATTGGTGCCCCTCAAGAGCAAATGGTGCAGATTCCTGCCAAACCCTCGATAATGGAAGATCGTGAAAGTACAACACCCACGCCACCTCGCAATTTCGATCCCAATGACGACAAAACTCAAGAAACAGCACTAGCTGCCCAAACTTATGCTTCGAGCAGTTCTTCAAGCCGGAGACGATCACCACCTGCACGCGAACCAAGAGGAGATCTGCCAGAAGAGTACCTCTCTAGACCATCGAGAAGAGATATCGAGAAGAAGAGAAGGAAGAAGTCAATCGAAGTTGACGATACCCTAGATCTTTTACCAGCACCAATCCAAGAAGCCTTGCGGAATACTATTGTTGAGCCCCGAGCTAGAGAAACCAGTCCTTCGCCAATCTCCTCTCCGATAGCCGAACGAGCTAAAAGAGCTAGATCAAGATCCCGTCCTCCATCTCGACCTGGAACACCTGGCTTGACAATGCTACGAGAAGAATCAGAGGATGAGAATGCTCTCAATGTAGGAAGCAGAGACAGTGCTTTTATCGGCGACTCTCCAAATCCTCCTCAAGGAAACTTCGCAGACAAGCATGAAGACATTCGTGATAGTGGCATTCACTTAAGAGACATTTCACCTTCCATGCGTGTTAGAGCACCTGTATCTTCATCCGATGCAGCTATCGATAGCATGACGTGGCCTTCTGTGGATGAAGATGCTGGGACGGTTAATCTTGAACAGCCGCAACGACCAAAAGTTGTGGAGGACTTAACACGTCATGGCCATGCAATTGATGATCTGCCATCTCAGAGACACAAAGAAGAGGGGTACACAGATCTACATAGAACGCGGGCAATTCACAGAGCACATTCACCTCATGAAGAAAAGCATAGGCTTTCTCGCAAAACTTCTTTAAGTCGTGGAGAACTCGCAGAAGCGAATCATGTAGACTTTGTCCGATCCCAACGACTTAAGGCATTCCAAACGAAATCCAAGGAAAAGTTATCTGAGCCTCCCCGAGCAGAAGCAATCAACAAACCAGTGACGCCAGAAAAAGAACATAGAAGACATCGTGTCCACCGCTCCGAATTTCCTGACGTCCAGTACCGTAAACCAAAGGAAAACAAATACGGGGACCTTGAGCCAGTCAAACCCCCCAAAACTTCTAAAACTGAGCAGCGAAGTGTTTCCGAGAGTTCTCCATCTTTAATTGGAAGTGCAGCTCTTGCAGCAGCAGGATCGGGATTTGCAGCAGCAAGGAAGTTAAGTCAAGAAAGCCGACCTTTAAGTGCTCAAAGTCACAAAAGTCAAAGATCCGCTTCAAATATCAGTGTTACTCGATTGCGAACGCCGGTTCCATTAGATGCGCCTCAAGCGCCACAGTTCCCCGATAGCGCTAAGACCAATCGTTCGTTTACACCGCCACTTCGTCGTAGCGCCCGGAAAATTAGCGGGGATCCAAGATCACTCCGTCAACAAAGCAACATTGATCTCGCTAAGGAAATTGATCCAGCCTCCATCAATACCGCTACATCGACAACCTCAACAAATACTGCAAATCCAACTGCAAATGAGGGCCGAGCCAGGGCGCAAGATATGGCCGATGTCTACGTAAGTTGGTACAAATCTGAAGATGAAAAATTTTCACCACTAATAAAAAAATGTAGGATGGCTATGGTGAAGGCCACATGGGCTCACCACGATCCCCAACTCGACCTCACAGTATGCGACGACGACAAAGTATGCAAGTCTTGGAACTCGAATCAAAATTGGATCAACTAACTGCGGAAAATCGCGCGCTCGCCGAATCTAAAGCTCATGCCGAACATATGCTCCGATCAAGCCAAGGTGCACCTGCGGCCTTGGTAGAAAGGGATGCGCAAATCGATTTACTTAAACGAACACTGTCATCGATGCAAGATGAGGTCAAAAGATTGACTGAAGTGAATGCGGGTCTTTCTAGTGCTGCTGTTACACTGGGTCAACAACATAACGCAAGATATGGCACACTCGAATCACAACATGCACAAACTTCACGCGAACTCCAGCAGGCCCGCGAGGCTCATCACAACCTACAAAGCGAAGTACAAGGCGTCATACACAACGCTATACAAGAAAGGGACCAGGAAATTGCATCGTTGCGATCTCAATTGGATGTGGCCAAGGAACAAATCCGGGCAATGCAGAGGGAAATTCTAGCTGCCAAAGCAGGTGACGCTCAATTCCTGATCATCCGAGACGAGGACTATTTCGATAATGCTTGTCAACAACTCTGCCAACATGTTCAGCAATGGGTACTTAGATTTTCAAAGTTCTCTGACATGAGAGCCTGTAGACTCACGAGCGAAATCAACAACGATAAAACCATTGATCGACTCGATAATGCCATTCTAGATGGCTCAGATGTGGATAGTTATCTTGCGGATAGAGTGAGGAGACGAGATGTCTTCATGTCAATGACAATGACAATGGTGTGGGAATTCATATTCACTCGCTACTTATTTGGCATGGATCGAGAACAAAGACAAAAGCTCAAGTCATTGGAGAAGGTATTGTCTGAAGTTGGGCCACCATCAGCCGTTCATCAATGGCGTGCTACGACTTTGACCTTGTTATCCAAACGAGATTCATTCGCCAGACAAAAAGAACAAGATACTTTAGCTGTGGTGCATGCTGTTTTAGAGACCCTAACAGAGATCTTACCTCCACCTAGTCACCTGGAAAATCAAATCGAGGAACAACTCAAACGTGTTATAAAAGCTGCCGTTGATCTCTCCATAGAAATGCGCACTCAACGCGCAGAATACATGATGCTACCACCACTTCAACCCGAATATGATGCCAATGGCGATCTCGCTAGCAAAGTCTCCTTCAACGCTGCACTCATGAATGAACGCAGCGGAGATACCATCTCTAACGAAGAACTCGAGGCACAAAGAGCTGTCGTCAGAGTTGTACTCTTTCCACTTGTGGTGAAGAAGGGTGATGATTTAGGACAAGGCGATGAGGAAATCGTAGTCTGTCCTGCTCAGGTTTTGGTTGCCAAACCCAGAATGGGCAAGGGACCAGTGGGAAGGGTTTATAGTCCGGCGAGTGGAGCGGACATGGACAGGAGAAGTGATAGGAGCCGAACTCCTGCTAGTTTGCAGAGCAGTATGCCCGATGCCAATGTTATTTGAAGAGAAAAAAACACGAAAGAAAATAAAATCGGGATGGCGGATGAAGAAATGAATGGAAAGGGGTGCGGGTTAAATGGGAGTGGTGATGAAATAATTGATACCCTTTGGGTTTAGCGGTGATGGTTGAATCATGTGTTTTAATGTTTTCTTTCCCTTTGTTTTTCTTTTTATCTTCGACGGTTTCCCGATTCATTTTAATGATGATTAATGATGCTATGCATTTAGCGGACTCATAGCTACGGCTATGGATTGTTTCTTTCATATTTCGGGCAAAAAAGATATCCATATTTTAACGACGATCACGACCAGATTGTAGAATTAGACGAGTTTAATTTACTCCGCTTAGTTTATGAATTTAAATGCCAACGCACTTCATTTTGATTCGGGTTTCGATCTCGATTGTCATTCTTTTCAATTAAAGGTGAACTATATAGAATTGCAAAAGCAAACCTCGACAAACTCTCACTGCCGGTCAATCCTTCTCCTACGGCGCTAGCTACCTTCTCTCATTCATGTATACATGTATATCCTAGTGGAGATCCCCCTGTCGCTCAAGAATCGAGTGATTTTGTATTGTTGGCTCCAACGAAAAATTAGACATAAAATCATGGAAACACATAATTGTCATATCTTGTGGCTCTTGGGCACAACACTCCACCATTTTTACAGCTCGATGGGTAGATCCTTTTGCAACTCGTCAAACTGTGTAGTCTTACCCTGACTATACCACCAAGCATCCAACTACTTCCCAATCTCCCTGTTAATGGTCACCCAAAAAAAATTGCATTGAAGAAACAGCCCACTTATGTCATTTTCTTAGCTTTAAGACATATACCTGTCTTAGTCTGTGAAATTCGACCTACAGGTGCGTCTGTGTAAACTAATCACTTATTGCCGTCATAGATATGTATTAAGCTGTCAGGCCATAAAAATGGCTCTGATGGGTGGTGTGCCAGTGCTTTCCTCTGAAGTGGGCGACTCACAAGGTACCAACCACCAGTATCACCGTGCATGCTTTACTCGATATTGATATTCTCATATATACCCTCAACCTGTCAATGTCGAGATCTTCTTGCGTGGTATCATTGCATAAGTGTGCGTTCCCTTGGACCTTTAATCATTTAACTTTCTACTTGAGTGTTGTCATTGCGTTTTGTCAACTTACTCGTCGAAGCTAAAGTAGTGGTCATAATACGTTTCTCTCTCTAAGATAGCATATCCAATCAGAGCGATAAAAAAGAGCATCAATATGAATCCCCCCATGTATTTCTATTGCGCAAATGAGAGATTAAAGGATTGTTCGTTAGCGACAGGTAGGGTCGACTAAAAATGCGGCCCGTTCCTTACTACATTTTATTAGAAGATACGACAATGCAAACTTTAGTGAACTGAGTTAGAGCTTCTAAAGCTGAAGAATTTAGTGTTTCGCGGCAATGGGAGCTGACAGTAAATGGTGAGGGGCAGCTGGAGAAGTGGGGGGAGCTAGCCGAGTTAGGCTAAGGAGGGGAAATCGCATCGAGAGCTGACTCGAGTATATCATGCCTCACCTATAGACCTCATTGTGATACCACACAGAAATATTACATGAACCAGGAATCAATACTCTGGTAAGTACGTTTTACGGGCTCTCGCCTTTCATCAAATCGAAAAGCTTTTAGAAAAACTCTCAGATTTCAAGGAAATCCCAAGAAATCAGAAAGATTCGCAAGGTAACAGTATTAGATTAGGGTTATTGATCATTGAAAATTCCTTTTATATATCTATAACGATGGTATTAACTTATTAGTGTTGACTACATACTCTTCATCGCAAGATATAGAAAGTGCCAACGCAGGATCTGCGTTGTCGGCATGTAGGGTCTGTCAATCTCGAGTAAGACATGCGAATAATTATTCATGAACTCATGCTGCGAGCTTTGTTTAAAGACATGCAATGCAATTCAGGACACAGTTATATGCTACATGTGGTATTACTTGTATCCACTCCCTTGATCTACACGACTCGAATTATGCTATATAAGTACTCGGGAATATCTGGGGGAGGATTCCCTCTTCAGCAAATTCAACGTCTCTTTAAAATTCATAGCCTACACCTTTACTACCTCAACTATTTAATCAACACCAGCAACTGATCTCGATGGCACCAACAGCCTGGTGGCATTCAATAGTTGGTGGACCGGGAGGAGAGCCATTCCAACACGTCCTAGTACATGATCCAGTCTCAAAAATTGAAATATGGACCAGTTCGGCGGCTTTTTTCCAGTTTGAAGGGCATTAGACTCACCCATGTTAGTGGAGCACAGTCACCATTAATTGGCAAGGCCGAGGGAACCTTGAAATTCTTCACAATAGCATATGGGGAGCTAGTGATTTCGATTATTGCGTACACGAATGGGAGTTCTTTTGCCGGCGTTTCCAAAGCTACCGACCAAGGGAGGTCATTCATGGCTGGTACAATAGGCCTAAACTCACATCGGCAGGATCCTCGCAGCGGTTTCATCGTCGGTTTCATCGGTCGAAGGAGTCATCAATTCGATGCATTCTCACTTGGCATGTTAGACGATCTTCAAAGTTGCCTTGTTGAAATGAATTATTTGACGATGCCAAAAGGGGGGGTGAGCGATGTGTCGGTGGTGCGAGTGACTAAGGACAACGAAGAAGGGGCGCGTGATGCCGGTGTCAACATTGGTGAGTCTGTCTCCACCACGAGCTCTGTAACCACTAGCAAGACGTGGGGAGAAAGCATGGGGATATCTGTTAGTGTTTCAGGCAAGGTCTTTGGAGTCGGTGTCGATGCCAGCACAGAATATACATATGGCGAGGAGAGAAGTGAATCGTCGTCTTATTCGATTACTAAGGCGACCGATATCTCCGCAGCGATGCAAGTTCCCCCAGGGAAGAAATATCTAATCACGGCATTGTATTACAAGGGCACCTTCGATGTTGAATTCCGTCCCAAATACACATTCATGACGAAAACTGGATTCAGAGCCATGTTTCCCGAGGGAGCAGCGCAGCCTGTCTCCGGCATCGCTTCCGGAAACATGATAATTACAACCAACGACATCACGGACATGTCTCCAAGTCAGATTTCTCAGCTTATCTCTCCATCAACAAAGATTGGAGATAAATCCACTTCTGAAGCTGAATTTGAGAATGTGCTCACGAGAGAAGTCCTGGACAGCAACGCTCGGAATTTTGCGCAGGAAGTCGGCGTGTCTGCAGATGATCAGTAATGGATACCGGAATTTGCAGTGGGGGAAGGAAGACGAGGCGATGATAGCCTGTCGGGGCCGACATCCATTCATCACATCTTCGGGTGCATTCATAATGTAGCTTATTTTCAAACAAGTCTATGGATTTACTTTCACCTCTTCGTTCGTTTTTAATTGGAAAAATAACTACAAGAATTTTTATATTAGAATCGCTCTCATTGATCCGGACAAATTCAAATTTCGGTTAATCAAATGAATGACTTACTTCTGATTAATCTTTCCCCGTTTGACATGAACAATGTGATCACGACCTTTATTACTGGAGTAGTTGTAACGAATGACTGGAGGACCGTAGTCTCTATAACTACAAATCTCCAGTGAATGACTAAAAAGTACCACATGCAGGTGATAGAATGGACCCCATGATGACCTCGACGGGCGGGTTGTATAGAATTAACGCTGAGCGCTCATTCAACAAAAACAAACGACATTTAACACATTTGTCAAAGGAGTCCTCGGCCGTCGCTCCCTACCGTCCTCCTCCTTTATATACCACCCCGAATGAGCAAAAAATGAAAAGACATACAACAGTGGGGATTCGCTGGTGGTCACCCACCCAACTACTAATCCACCGATCTGAAGCTTGTGTATGGCAGAGCGGACGGGATGCCCAATTCTCTTCAGTCTATGGTCGTATGTATCAGACGCTGTTGAAAGTGAAAATATATCGGTATTGTCGCATAAGATACCCATATAATCATCTTCCCTTTTTGTAAGCGAAGTACATAAGTATGCGCAATTGAGTACTTCGACTTATTGATTGATCGGAATCATAAATAAGTCATCAAAAACATGAAGCGAAATGATATCTAGCTACTGTGTAATCTATGACTTCTAACAAACTAGAATTCGATAGAATTCAAAGGTGACAATTGAATTGCAAGCACTCTCTGAAGATATTCATTTCTGCCTCATTTCTTTCGCTTACGTGGACGCTCCTTAATACCACTTCCAGCGACATTATTTTTAACGACTACCAACATTGTCTAGATAGCACTGGGGGTTTACAACAAATACAATCTTCGTATTCTACCAGAGTAAATTACGATCGCGAAATCATCATAGGCTAGATCTGAATTCGATGTTTGTTTCGAGGACCAAAATCTTTCATCACTTTACAGTCTGCTGAAGATTGAAGCTAGATTGTGTGTATTTGGAAGAAGTTCCATCTCATAACTGATTATTCATACAATTCATACCCTTACAGAACCACTCTACTTCAAGTTTCAAAGATGAAAGCACCGATCGTTCAACACGTGTTTAGCTAGTGAACCTGAGCTTCGTTTACTAAACAAGTCTATACTATCGCCGAACTAGTAGAACTAGTTCAGCTCTAACTAAGTTAGTAAGTATCTAGTTGTGGTTATTTCCCATGTATAATTTGTCTTCTCATACCCTCCTTCTTTCCATCAAATTCAGAATTTATCTTCTCTCCGATTTATCTTTTCATTTTCATCCACAAGGCAGCGCATCTCCAACTTTCTCTTAACATATAAATAATTCTATATTCATCACTAATCAAAACTCATCAACAAAATAAGAAAAATCAACCATTTACGCCCTTTAATTGACTGTCAGAAGAAGAACATACAATTTATATACAAAGATACTACACAAAAACTCATATTTCTCCCAAATCGATATACACATATATCCCTTGCAATTGTTTGCAAACAGAAGTGTCAGTACAATCACATACTAGGTCGGACACACTATCTGAAGCAGGCAAGAGATTCTTATCATAAAAGAGTTCACCAAGCATCTGACCAGAATCCCTATCAAATACAAAGCACCTGCTTGAATTTCCTCCATTACCCACAGAATGGTCCGCCCATCTCGTATTGCTCGAAAAGTCCGAAGGGAACATGAGCGACAGCAAGGTATATTAAAGAACAAACATAAGGCGCAGGGTGCTCGACAACTTTCAAGAGATTGTGGTACCAACAAACAAACCTCCCTTGATACACATGTTGTTGGTTGTGGCCAGTCAACCATAGGCAGTCTCGTGGCACCGAAACCGATCCGCGGCATCCGAATAGGTTCCCTACGACGTAAAACCAAACGAGATCTGAAGAACAAACTTTTCAAAGGAGTCGTTGTTATTGAGCCCAGAGAAACTGCACTCGCTAGCGCGGCAAAAGAGGTTGATTCCTACTTGAATGAAGACAGATTAGTTCTTTGGACTGATGGTTCTCGCAACGAGCTTTCTGATTGTGGAATAGGCATTGCTTACCGCTCCTCCAAGTATGTATGGGAGGATCTTTCTTGGCGTATTCGAGGCCAAATTTCGACCTATCTTCTCGAAATATATGCTATCGTCAGAGCTCTTGAGATAGGATGGGACATGTGTCGCAATCAAGGAGCTGAACGAAAGCCGAGCAAAATCATAATTTACAGCGATTGCTGTGATGCACTGAGACGATTTGATCAGTTTCGGAATTCACTAAAAAGATTGGAAAAACTTACCTATGCAGAGCAACTGATTGTACCGGGGATCATTGCGTCCGAAGCTTTGAACGTACTTGAGGTTGAGGTCGAATTACGATATGTTCCTGGACATTCAGGAGTCGAGGGGAACGTAAGAGCCGATCGCGCTGCGAAGATTGGTAGGAAAAACTCTATTGGAAAAGGACAGTTGACAGTAGCAAGAGTAGTCGGATCTCGAGCCTAATAGAAAGGGTCCTAAAAGAGAAAGAAAAGGGGGTCAGTGTGTCCACTGAGTAGGATTGTTCCAGCAAGCTGAACGACTGTAGTGGGGTACAGAAGATCTTGTCACGAAGTAAAACGTCGCACAGGTCTCAGGGAGTCGAACCCCTTACCAAAGGACGTCTCCATTGACCGCCACGCTGTCACCTTGTGCTAGATAGAACCCGTGAAAAGATGCCCCCTACCTTTAAGTTAAGCAAAAATATCCTCAAACACTGCTGCGAGCACCATCAATGATTGGCAAGATGAAATAAATTCGAGGATAATACTTGGAGGAAGGTGGTATCTATAGAAAGATAAACATCAGAAAGATGTATTGAAAGTTGAGCGATATGAGTGGAAATGTGGTTTGAATGAGTTGATAAATGAATGATGTAGAAGAGAAGAGAGATGAAGGAGAACAGAAAGCATTGGAGCTTATTTATACCACTCCCAACGATCTAATTTAGTCGCATATTGATCAGGCGGGAGTAACTGATTCGCGCCACATTAGGAAAGAAGTTTACGACGATATTAGTGGCATAAACATACTGAGAAAGACCTTTTCGAAGAAATTTGGAGTTGTTACTTCCACTTGACTGGGTCACTATGAGGATTTGTTTGTTCTGACCAAGTAAGGCAACCGTAATCTTTGGTTGTTGACTTGCAGGTTGCAAGTCAGAACCCAGTCCGTGTCGTAACAATTCTCGGTCGGTGTTTCCTTTCCTGCTGACAATAGCAAAAGTAAACTTCTTGCCATCTGCTATGGCTTCTGGTCGCTATTACCAGATTTGGTTTCAATAGAGCTTCGACAACGCTCAGAAACAAGGGCAGGAATAGCACCAACATGAGGACTGTGAGATTGGTGGTGGGAAGGATATCTGTTAAGTCAAAAGGAATAATGAAGATGGGTTTAAATATTAAAGGCCAGAATCTACGTGTATATAAAATTACTATCTATACATGAAGTTGCTTCAATAGCCTTACTTCTTTAGATGTTCGGGTTATTTCCTACATCCAAGTCGAGTAGTTACTTCCTTGCTAATCCAGCTACCACGATATACACAAGCTTGAGTGTCACTCTTTTCTGCTTTCTCATTTTGACGAAGAACGGTTTGACCAAAATATGATTCCACATTCACAGATTAGAGGGGGCGTATGATAAGGCAGGAGGAGATCGAATGATAAGACTGAAAGAAGGGATAAACATTGATGATTTCCTTCCCAGACATTCGAAATGTACATGCAGGTGCGGAACAATAAACACCTGACGAAACTTGGAGGGTTGAAAACAAGATCACTAGCAAAATAGAAATGTAAATTCCTCTTGAACCAAATGAAATGACGAACAACATCACAACACTAGTGTCTGTCTTGTCTGTCTTCGATTACTCTAGAATACCTGCAACACTAGGAAGGTATACTCGATATTCAAAACACACAAAGCACAACCCGCGAGTGATTCATCATACAACCCCCTAAACCACTCTCCTCACCTTCCCACTCTCCACCTCATAAACCCACCCACTAACCCCCACCTTCTCAGGAATAACCTCCACCCCCCTCAACCACTCCACATCCCTCCTAACCTCCCCTTCCAAATCCACAAACGGCAGAAACTCGCCCCCAAAAACATCCAACTCCTTTTTCGCCCCCTCCCCCAACCTCTCCTCCACAAGCTTAACCGCATCCTCATTCCCAAACGTAAGCATTCCACATCCCGTATGCTTAACCAGCAAAATCTCATTCGTCCCCAACAATTGCTGGGAAATGACAAGCGAGCGTAAGGCATCACGTGCAGAACCTCCCGCGTTGCGGATTACATGGGCGTCGCCAAGGGCGATGCCGAAGGCTGCAGAAGGGTCGATACGCGCGTCCATACATGTTACTGGAGTATGTTAGAAAGATTCAGAAATTGAAGAAAGGGTTTTGGAAAGTGTGTATGTACCAACGGCATATTTCTTGGCGGGTGGAAGGGCGAGATCACCTTGCGTGAAATTTGCGGTGTAGATTTTGTTGGATTCAATGAGGTTTCTTTGAATGGGTGTCTCGGAATGCCTAGTATGAGCAGTTGGTGCTGCTGTTGCGAATGGGATTTTAGCTGGCATGACTGTATAATTTATTTCTCTATCGTTTGCAAATGTGATAATGGACTCAAATATGCTGAGATGAGACCTAGCTATGTACTGTCTGTATTCGATCAGTGAAAGTTAACGAATACCTAGCCAGCAAATGGCTCATTTGTCCATCTTTATACAGGATTCTAATCCAATAAAAGAAATCAAGAGTGAACAATTGAGATCGGTATATCTCAAGCTATCTCGACTGAATCCCGTTGATTTTTCCTTCCAAAGACCGGAAAAGGATGGCGCAATCTGGGGTACCAATTGAGATGCTCAGCTCAAATATTCCATCATACTCCGTGTAGATCACACCATACATATTCCACCAAAGTGGCTAATGGCAGGAATGTTCACTCAAGAAAAGTGTCACCCATTTTATATCAACATGTTGTAGGAAACCTTGTAGGATCCAGATTGATAGCAGTAGGTACCTAACTATTTATAATTTTTATGCAATATTTATGTTACCATCCCTATTTATGCACTACCCCACACCCATTCAATGACTTCATATCTCGACCTCGGCTTGTCGTCATGTACCTACTGAAATACCTACAAGTAGGTATTATCAAAGAGTATGAATGAAATTTTAAAAGATTCGAAATCATCTCCAGAAACTCCCATTCAGATAGAAGATAATGAGGTAGCAGGACTGCAACAAAGTATTTTGGAAGCACAATACTTCGATGCAAGTAGCATGGCTCCGCTTTCGGCAGCTTCAATAGTAAGTACCTCCACATGACATTCAACATCCAGTAGACACTGTACCAGCGTAACACCCGACTCTCAATCCACCTAACACATTATCCAAAAGGGAGCGCTCGCACGACTCCGTGCCTACAAACCACCACCCTTCGACACAGTATGGAATCTCCTCCCCCTGAGTCGCCGAGCCGCGGTCCTTGTGCTCCTCTTTGCAGACCGACGAGGAGACCTCCGAGTCGTCATCACCATGCGCTCAACCACCCTCCGAAACTTTTCCGGACAAGCTGCGTTTCCCGGCGGAAAAGCCGATACGCTTTCCGAGACGCCGTTTGAAATTGCCCGACGAGAAGCTAGTGAGGAAATCGGTCTGCCGAGATATGATCACAAGATCCCCGCTCCGTTCAGAATAGAACATCTATGTCAACTTCCATTTAGTTTAGCTAGAACGGCATTGGCTGTACGACCTTGTGTTGCATTTCTCCACGCCGATAATGCAACGAGTGGGAGAGAAGCTAGTGTAGGAGAGGATTTGATGCCGCGGCTCGATGCCCGAGAAGTGGCGGCTGTGTTTTCTGCACCTTTTCATAATTTTTTGCGTATGGAAGATGAAGTGAGGAAAGAAGATGAATCTTTATTACCGGGGAAGAAAAGTGATTGGTATAGTGGATCTTGGCATGAATGGCACGATACCAAGTGGCGAATGCATAATTTCTTTGTGCCGATTACCAACCAGAAGGTATCGAGGCCGAAGGTCAGAGAGGGGGGACAGGCTGCTATTGCTGAGGAGCCTGAGGAACAGGAAGAACAGGGCTTGACACGCTTTAAAGTATGGGGGATGACAGCGAGGATGTTGGTTGGTGAGTTGAGAATTTTGAGTAGCATAGAGGACGTTACTAACTGATCACATGTAGATGCGGCTAGGATTGCATACGAGCAAGAGCCAGAATTCGAGGTAAGTTTCCGCTTATGCATGCTATTACTTGAAACTAATACATCATGTAGCATAACGCTCATGTTGGGGATGAAGAGCTCATTGCTGAATTACAAAGCACGGGTCATCTTGAAGAGAAAAAGAATGTGTCAGTTGTAGAAATCATTGATGCTAGGAATAAAATCAAAGAAGAGAAATCCGGAGCAAAGATGTAGAGAGGACAGATAATTAAAATTGTTTAATAATTTATTTATTCTTTAATTCTAGGTCATCGACCTTTACCGCTGGGTCCTTTAGGAACATCTTGACTTCGATCTTGGTTTCGCACTAGAAGCTTGATTTTACCACCACCAATCTCATGACCTTGACTCAAGATATCAACTTCTTCCTTTGAACCATCTGCGCCATTGCTTTCTCTGGATAAAGTCTTGTCATAAGATCGAGCGTCAATGCCCAAAATACCACCCACGTTGTTTCTGTCACCAGGGACTGAGAATTCGCGGTATGCGTATCTCCATTCGTTCAAGAATGTACGAATGGCTTTGCCAACCTTATCTTTGCCGTTTTTGCTATGATGACCTGTACCTGTGATAGCATAAACGGGTCTTGATTCTTTGCTGTTATCTAGAAGGACGCGCTCGAGGTATTCGACAGCCTCTTCGGGATGAAGACCATGCAAATCAACGTAAAGCTCTGCGTTTGGGGAGTTACTTTTGTTGCGTTCTTCGTAAAGCTCACGAGCTGCTTCTCGGTGTGCTTTCCTCATGAGATCGTTCTCACTTTGACCACGAAGGCTAAGTGCTTTTGCAGCACGTGCATCATTACGGTTCCAAGCTTGAGCGGCACTAAATTGTCTTAATAAAAATGTATTTTATAATGTGATTCACTGACTAACCTCTGTAAGAATTTGTTCCTCAAACCACCATGCTTGATTGCATCTTGTCTGGCTTTGAGGTATGCTTTATTGGCTCTTTCTCCTGTTTCTAACCACGGAATGTGTTGAGGGGGTGATATAGCTTGTGCAGCAGCGCTATTCTCGCCATTGCGGACATTATTGGAGCTACCGTTTCTGCCAATCTTTTTCTTTTCTTGCATCATACCAGGGCCTGGTGAAGGAGATAGCTTTACCACATCGGCAAGGGAGCTTGGGCTGTTGTTTTCTTTGTGGTTGTGCCCATGACCACCTCGTTTCCCGTGATGCTTTTTGCCCTTTGTACTCACAGCGCCTAACGATGGAAATGCTTCTGTATCATCAAGAGCTGGAGCTGTGGGAGCATCTCTAGCTCGACTACTTGGTCGAGATCGCTGGCTTCCATCACTGTTATAACCGTGTAGACTTTTGAAACCAGGCGGTGGAGTGAAACCACCTTGTTGATAGTTGCTGAAAGCATTCGTCGATGAATAAGAGTTTGGCCACTGCTCTTGCATTGATTGTAAAGATGGGAATGCATTGTAATCTTGGAACTGGAAACTGGGTTGTGCATTTGAAGTTGGGGGCGTGCTACCACCTTCAAGAGAGAGTCGGCTCATAAACGATGAGGGATCGTGGCTAAAGATGCATGTATCTCCCGCAAGGCAATTGCCCATGACCCAATACCTGCATAAAAATGAGGGGTGCAAATCTATAGGAATAGGATAAAACTTACTTGCAAATGTGATTACTCAAATCATGACTAAATCTACAATCCGCGCGAAGACATTGTCCAGTAGACAACCAAAATCGACAGACAACACCATTTCGTTGTTGCCCAGCCGGCGTGTTTGGTCGAGGCACGTCCGCTGCCATTGACTTACCAATTAGAATGGCTTTTGTACCATCTCCATCTGCTTGTACTGCAGCTTCGGCAGATTGACTATCCATGAAAGCAGCAATAGTAGCGCTCAAGTCGTATCCGTGTAAAGCAAGTGCAGCCTCGATTTCTTCAACTGATTTCGAGGGGCCAAAAATCGACCGTAACATTTCATGAGAGCTCATATCGCTTTGTTGGGGCGAAATGTATTCAGCTGCAGCAGCGTTGAGGCCACTTCCTCCGACGGACGATGATGTGATACTAACGGCATCATCATTCACAAGCCAGTCTACATTTTCACTTCCGTAATCTCCATATATATCTTGCGTAGGGCTAGTGTCAGTCGGAAACTCGTATGCGTTCAGGTTTGGACTATGAGGGATCGCAGGGCTGGAAAATGCGAGTCGTGGGGAGGGTCGCGGTGAGGTAAAAGGGGAACCCTGGATAGACTTTGTTCGAGAAAATGATTGCGGCATAAACCCATGGGGAGCGAGGGGACTGACTCCAAGTCGAGGGGATGAAGATAATGGTGTTCCACCACGCGGAATCTGCCATGGAGCAGGGGATGGCCGACGCAGGACTGTATGTCGCATTGCGGGTGGTGAGTTGGCGGCATTTGCAGCGCTCTCGCGATATCGCCATAATACATCTAACACAGCATTCTCCAAAACTGTTCCTGTCATTGTAGTTTCATTCTTTAGCAAGTCCTCCAATTTATCCGTCTTGTCCTCGTCCTCTAGGGTAGCATCTTCGAGGATAGGCAGGCAGATCTCATAAGTATCGTCGGCCACCATTTTTGCCAAGGGTCTTTGAGCAACGATCGGATTATATTATTGTATGGCTTTCAGAAAGGTGGTATTTCGCAGGAAGCAGAAGGAAAAAATGAAAGCGTAGAAAGTTTATAAAAAAGATAGTTGTTGAGGGGGGGGCTTTGAAGAAATGTAAGGTAGGTGAGACCGGAGTTCGCGATTGATGATTCGATCAGGGAAAGACACCTCGAAAGATGTACGCAGTAAGGCAAGACAATACGGTGATCCGTAGCAAGGCTCGACACAACAAAGGCACCAGGCTCTTACATTGTCAGATGAATGATGGGGGAGAAGATACTTTTCTTTTTCCGAGCGAACATGGATTTGGTTTAAGAAAAGGAAGCAAAGAGAAAGAAAGGGGATTTATTTCCAAATTGTGTTTTTCGACAGGTAGATTCGTGGGGTTTTGGAATGTCGGACAGCACCTCTAGCTCTCCATAAGATGATGAGGCTGGCCTATCGGGGTCGGGGTTTCCTTTAGTTTCTAGAAGAAATGGAAGTTAATTGGCTGAAATGCTGGGTCGATCCGATTTGTACAGCAAGAATTGAGCCAAGCAAAATATAGTCCGGAGTGATGATATATTCTAACACAAGGAGAGGATAGGGGAGAGGTCGAACGAATGAATGTATTGGATATATGTGTTGATGTGCTGACTAGACAGACCGGACGGACAGCCATGCAAGCGGTGAGGTGAGAAAAAAGCATAGCTGGGAGTATATATATATATAGCTGCAGAAGCAGGAGTATGAAGGAGTAATATCAATCAAGAATACGAAGGACAATGAAGTACAATACCACACAATACTACTACTTGAGCATCTTTGTGTTGATATAACTTTTTGCTTACTTTGACGATTTGAGGTTATATACATGCTGCTTACTACATACCAACCTACATACATACACTTCAAGTTCGAGGCCTTTCTGACTGTGAACTACCTACCTAGGTAGTACTTATATTTCTGTACAAGGGGTGTACCTGAAAAGCCCCTGTTGTAACACTTCTTTCCACGAGATGTCACTAGCTTTGTAGCTACATAGACTCCTGATTATCATACTGGTATAATAAACATAATAATGTCTCCTTTGCGATTAATATTTCCTTTCAGCTGCAAACGATTCAACTCGGTCCCAAGAGGACATGCATACATGACTACTATCTATCTACTCGGTACCTACTACCTATACAACCCCTTTTCACAATTCGCTGCTCTGCCAAACCATTCATCATGTGATTGATCTCCACGACCCCTCATAAAAGCTTGAATTGAATCCTAGGTAGGTAGTAGGTAGGTACCTATTCATCAATTGTAGGGATTGATATTCAGAGACACAAGTGACGTAGAAGCAAGAGTGCGGCGTCGCGTTGGAGGTAACCGTTACAAAATCATATTTTAGGATGAGATACAGAAGATGCATATATACACATACACATACACATACACATACCACTTATTAGTCCTCCTAGGTAATTCTTCAAAACCAACATCTTTCTAACCAGCATGTTTGTATTATTGTGAGAAGTTCATTTTCATTTTGCTATTCTCTCATTCCATCCTTTGCTTTCCTATCCTAAAATACGAGCTACGCTATTAGTGAGCATTGCATCTCCGTTCTCCGCCGTTTCAAAAAATCCATCAGCACAGCCCTCGAGACCCTACCTACATGCTGGGCAGAAACCATTTACCAAACAACGTCTCCCCTTTGACGATATCTTCAATGCATCTTGCGACGATACTTTAGCTCTTTTCATCGCCCAACTTTCGATTTGTGAGCCACAGAAACCGAATCATCAATCAACAATCTACCGTTTCGGTGTTCATAATTACAAACACATATCGAACAACCTCCACAATGCCGGCCGATTACAGCTCGACCGCGAGAGCTTTGGCTTTACCCATAAGTCCTCTCGAGTCTCCTTCCTCTCCAGATCAACACGCAGAAAGACCGCCATGGTCCAGGCGTATATCTTCCAATGTGCGAAGAGGAAACAACTCAGCCTCGCCATATTCAAGCCAACCTACCAATTCCCTCAAAGATCAAATTCTCCGCAAGGCCGATAAATTACAACGAAAGCTCGTTTCAACATGGCAAAAGCTTTCTCTTCTACAAAAATGTCTGGCCATTATGGCCGCGATTCTAAATATTATCCTCGTCGTTCTATTTCTAGTCTATCAACATCAAATCTTCGCCAGTCTTGCTCCATTCGCAGAACGCTGGCGGGATATGCGGGGAGGCTGGATGATTCTATGGGCCATGACATTCGTCGCCGCATTTCCACCTCTCATCGGCTATTCCTCCACCATCACCATTGCCGGATTTGTCTTCGGAGTTCCCAAGGGCTGGATCATTGTGGCGAGCGCAACAATAGCAGGTTCTCTCTGTTCATTCCTAGCTTCCCGAACCATTCTCTCAAGCTATGTACATCGTCTCGTGGGAAAAGATAAACGCTTTGAAGCTCTTGCCCTCACTCTCAAACACGACGGCATCAAGATTCTCTGCATGATCCGTCTCTGTCCCCTCCCATACTCCCTCTCCAACGCCGCCATCGCCACTTTCCCCACCGTACATCCCCTCAACTATGCTCTCGCTACCGCCTTGGTAACCCCCAAACTCCTCATCCACGTTTTCATCGGTAGTCGTCTGGGCTCACTCGCCGGCGATGAAGAAATGGATACCTCCACCAAACTAATAAACTACGCCAGTATAATCATCGGAGCTGGACTCGGCGCCACCGTCGGCTATATAATCTACCAGCGCACCATGGCACGCGCCAAAGAACTCGAGATCGAGGAGCTCGAAGCTGCAAATGGGGATGTGGCTGCTGGGAGAAGAGTCGCCGCAGAATACAGCGATGCTAACAGTGATGATGCGGCGTTGATGAATGATGATGATATATCTTTATGGGACAACGATGCACAGACGGGATACACGGATTTTGTAGATGAGGATGAGGGTGATGTTTTTGCAAGTGGAGATTTAGATGAGGAAGCGGATATTGGGAGGAAGGGAAAGACAACGAGAACCTAGATTTCCTTTGGGGTTTTGATATGTAATTCATGACGAGGCATATTGTATGAAATGTATGCTGGATACGTACTGGGTTTGGTTGGGTCTGATTGTGTCACCACAATTTGGCGTTCGGTAGAAGGAAATGATTAAAGGGTATATGGTTTATGCATGTCTTCTTTACGTTAGAAGACAATGATGACATCTAGTCACAAGTTAAAAGAGTAAAAAAACCTTTCACACCATCAACATCTTAACATGCAATGAAGACATTTGCTTGCTCTGTAGCATCTTTGTATCATTTGATTTGAACATTTTAATTCGTGGTATTTCATGACCCTTGTTCACTATGAAGTTAACCTAATGTGTGTCTGTCTCGGCCAAAAGCATCCATCCCGTGTTGTGCAGAGAACAGAATAATACTCATACAAAAGAACGCCATTTGCATCTGCTCCTGATGCACCGCTAAACGCCATCGCTAAAATCCAGATCCCAAAACCATTCGCTATCAATAATTCGTCATCAAATCGTATATTCATTCATTTTGTGCCTGGTACTGTTTCATGAAAGCCACTGCCTGTTCGATCGGGTATCCTATGAACACGGGCCCTGTAAAAACCATCTTTGGTCCATTACCCTGCATCTGGAGTTGTTCGGGTTGGATGATGGTCGGTTGGTCGTGTAGTATGGGAGGCGCATCGTAGTTTGTAGAGGGGGACTCTTCTTTATTAGCCTTTTGGCCTTGGCTAAAGGGACAACCTGTCGGTCTTTGTGCATCAACTGGAGTCGCTGGTAATTCTTGCGTTGATTTTGGTTGCGCATTCGATCCTGCAGTATGCCCAAATGGACACTTTCCAGGAGGTTTTGAATAACTGTCCAGAGGAACCGATACAGGCGCTGGTGGTGGAGACACAGGTCTGTGGTCTGGTGGTTGATCATATATTGGAACAGAGATTCCCCATGGTCTGCTTGGGGATTCTCCAACCCGAACTTCCTTCATTGGCCTGTCAAAGCGGCTTTCTCTGTCGTCTGCGGGAGTAGATTGAGATCCAGGCAGCGAATCATTGCCATCAACACTGACATTATTTGCCCAATTCTCCACTCTCTCATTGGAGGCGCGCTCAACCTCGTATGCTTCTTGCTCTTCCTTTGTAGGTAACATTGGCTGATGTTTTTGTCCCAGTCCCTGGATCATGCTCACAAGGTTCCCATATTTTGCATCTAGCATCCTCACATCATCCTCGTTTCGTTGATATCGCTTGACGCAAACTTCATGACTGCGGGGAACTTCGTGTTTGTGAATTTCAAAGTATCGTGCTATCTCTTCAGGCGAATGCTGATTAAGATATCGAATTGGACATTGAGCTCCAGGGCCTGATGCTGATGGGGGCGGGGACGACATCGTCTCGGCGTACATTTGCGCACATATAGGATCTGAGGAGTGGTGGGGAGTGGGGTCTTGGTTATCGATAGGAGTCAAAGGTTGATCGGATTCACCAGTGCTGGTATCCTGAGCATTTGGGTTCTTCATGGATTTCGTTCCGTCAGGCATAGTTACAAATGGACACAATAATGAACTCTTCTTTCCAGGCACAGTAAAATCTTGTTCGAGAACAGTTGAAAGGGAGGTTCGATGTGCTGAAAATCTCATATTACTACTTCCACCGGATATACTTTTACTAGTTGTAGATCCGGCAGACTTTCCAGATAAAGCCGCAAGACGCTGCGCTGCCTTTCTTCCGTCCCTTATTGCAACGGCAGTCTGCTGCTTCGAGGTTGGTTGCTTACGAAGTGGCAAAGGAACAAACCCACCACGATCAGGAACAGTTACTTGTAAATCTGGAGGAAGTTGAAGCTTTGCCAGTGTACTAGCTATCTCAGGGTCTGAGGGGGCATATTTGTCTGCCAAAGATTGATACTATGAAGGTGTTTGTTAGTCTTGGTTGCGCAAAACTAGTTCAAAAACAATAAAATGACGTTGAGAGTCAAAAAATTCAGACAATTTGGTAGTTTATCGGCATTGCTACTTTGCAACAAGTAACTTTGTTCTAGAGCTATTTGTGTACATCATTAAAAGACATGAGGGGGATGTGATTTGTAAATAAAATATTCAAACTTACTTGAGAATGCGAATATCGCAGTTTGTGTTCTAGGATTGTTTTTCTGTCACTTAGAAGTTGGACTTCGTCTGCTAAAATATTAAAGTTGTTAATTAAGGTATTGGTAAGTTCCTCATAATCAAGGTCTTGCAATGGCATGATGTACAGAAAGAAGGAGACACTGAAAAAGAAATGATAAGGTTCATGAAAAAATGTGTAGTTATGAGAAGATGCGAAGACGAGAAGATGGAAAGATGGAAGGTGGAATGAAGATTGGAAAGCAAGAAAAGGGCCTCGCGAAGCTAAAATTTGCTCGAGCTTAGCTTCAGTCTAAAGTGATGAAAGTCTCCATATAATGACTAATAAGGGGACTTGAATAATGAATTATGTAATACATAAGATGAGATCTTCTCCATCACGTGAACTGTCATAAGAACGGCGAGCACACGA